TGTCTTCCCGTGAAATATCCTTAATAAAGTCACTGACATCACCGGCAGTATGGGTCCTTCTAGTCAGTGAGAAGCGACACTGGTCTTGCCTTCCATGGGTAGAGCCTGACCTCCTCACGGTGTTGTATGACCCATTGTAGTTTACCGCTCCCGATAAATATACTACTAAATATGCAATGCACTACTTGACTCGTTTAACGGATTCATGAATTTATCAAAAAGTTAATCGCTATCATTTTTCTTAAAATGGACCACTTTGTACCTAACATTAAGTATTTGCTAGTAACCATTCAACCAGTGGGAATATATTTTGTAAGTTCTGTGTAGGGTATATACACCGAGAGTTATTTCTCGGTGTATATATGTGGAGAGCTTATTTTAATCTTAAATTTGGGATTAGAGATTAGGGTAAATATACGGCCTTAATAATCCTGGCAGTGGATAGGCCTTAGACCTGCATACCTGACCCTGACATTATTTGGCCCATTGGTCAGCGGCAGTTATGGCATCACTTGATATATACAACCATCACATACATACATACATATAATCAAAGTTCCTGAATTTTTTATGATTGTGTGAAAACACACTCATTCATTATATATATATATATAATATATATATATATATATATATATATATATATATATATATATATATATATATATATATATATATATATATATTATATATATATATATATATATATATATATATATATATATAATATATATATATATATTACACATGTATATATATCAGTGTTGTGTTGTCTGCTAGCCTTATCACATGTATTTTTAATGAAGGTTTTTCTGTATTTACTTAAACAATGGTGGAATAATGTTAATGTGTTTAGGTAAAGTGGAAAGGTAACATTTTAGGGGACTTATCAAAATTTACATGCCATTGATGAATATATATATAGTATATATAAGTTGATGTTACAAATGCATTTTCCGAAAATCTTTGTGCAATTTCCACTTTAGCATTGTCCAATAGTTTGGTGACATGATTCTCTTCAGTGCGGCCTCCTGACCAAATATATATTTTTTTTACAAGACTTTGGCTTTATTGGTATCCATTATCCCTGATATTAATGTCTTATATACGATATTAGATAACACTTCACCCTCTACCGGTAAATAATGAGACACTTGTGAAACATTTTGGAATCTTAATTGAGGAAACGATACGCCACACAGTGGCTTCATCAGTCCATCAATTGGACTGAATACATCGATTCCATGACTGAGGGACTGATTACCTAAAAATTCCTCTTCTATTTCCACCGCTCTTCTTTGTATTGGACTGATGAAGCCAGTGTGGCGTAAAGTTTCCTCAGTAAAAATTCCAAAATGTTGCAAGTGTGTCTCATTCTTCAACTTGTCAGTTTTCTAAACAATTGATCACATCTAATGTTAACAAAAACCCGTCGAGACAGCCCAAGGGTTTTTAATCACTAATATTTTTTTTTTGAGGGGTGGAAATCTTATAAGTAATGTAAGTGACAGAGGAATTTCAGCCTCACTCAAACCTGTTCTTAAAATGTGCTATTATTATCTTTGCACCTCAGATGTCTCCCAATATCTAAGATACAAAGACAAATTGAAAACTTTGTACTAACAAAACAGATATGTCATGTGCAATTTACCTGAGCTTTGTATTTTGGTATGCAAGTTATAAGAGCGTGAGAATTGCTAGCTGTTATACCAGGTTACGTTAACGAGAGCGCTAAACCTATCGGAGTTATACAGCATTTTTTTTTTGGGGGGGGGGGTGAAATGTACCTAGGTGAGGGTGAGGCACCAGACTTAGAGGACACTGCTGTTGCTTCACCAACATGAAAAAAACTTGTAAGACCCTCTTATTTTAATTGATATTACAAAATTTATCATAAAGGTATATCAATTTCTTGCGGTTATCAAAAATAAAAAAAATCTGAGCACCAAAAATACTGACGTTAGATTTTTTTTTATCTGGATCAGCTTAAAGAATGTCTATCACATTTACATATAATAACCAAGTGGTTTTTTATTTATTAATAAAATGAATCGTAACCTTCAGTTTTTCGCTCAGTCACCTACCATTACCAGGAAGATCTCTGCCAATAAGTCACTGAAGGCGTCTCAGCCTAGTTACATTCTCACCATAACTGCCTAACAATATGCATTATATTTTCTAAATTTTTGCTCTAATTTACTAAATTCAGAATTTGCACAAAGCGGTTACCCGAATCCTTTGTAAATAAGAGACTAATATAATTCTTATATTAAGATTCAGCTATTTACAATGTTTAAATAAATCACGTCTTAGTATATACAAAATGTCTCTGACCACTTTCACTCTGGTTTACATTGTTTTAGTAAGCAGTTCACTTGTTTAAGGGAAATTTTGAACATGGACTGCATATAATTTTATATGTCCCGGTTACAATAATCACGAACAAGCGATACGAGATGCAAAACAACCACAGGGGGAGTTGAATGATAGCTCTAGGTCTTTCGTGTTGCAATGAACACAACAGAAGCTTGTAGTGAGTAGGTAGTTCAAGCTCGAGCAAAAACGTTCCCCTGAACGAATCTACCTGGACTTCCTACTCATCTCATTTCTGTAACATTGCAAGCTCCTGTTGATGTGTTGATTGCAACACGAAAGGCCTAGAGCTATCATTCAACCTCCCCTGTGTTTGTTTTGCATTTTTTCAAGTATTTTAATAGTTCCTTGTTTAAGACAATGGTAATGGGACCAAAGATACAGTGTAATCTGCTTTTTATGGGATTTTATACATTTCACATAAACGGCAATACAAAAGTTTTAGATTATATTGTGACGATTATTTATAAAAAAGAGGGTCAATATTAGTCCATCGAAATCAAGGCTTCAGACTTATTAATGAACAATATTTTTTTTACAGAAAGCATGTTTACCTGCTGGGATATTTTCTATAGGAAAATTGAAAGGATGTGAAATTCAGGACAAAACATCTATAAAATCAAGTAATACACATGAAATATCCAGAGAGCCGTAGTTTGTAGTGTTCGACCGAACTGTCGAAAGTGATTACACTCTGCCTTGACCGAACTTAAAATTGGAGTGACCATTTAAACAGTGTATATTCTAGTCTCAGAGGCAATAATTGTTACTTGTACTTATTGTACCAGACATGCAGATTATCGAGGTTGTCCTCATTATCACTTTTGAGCGATAGGCGAAATAATCTCAGACCTTAATAAAATGGATTTTCCTTAATAAATATAATAACGCATCGCTCAACAGCATTATGTTCACTTTACACAAAATACAGTATAAATAAATATACATTTCCTGGAATTTCTATATACAAATCATTATGGTTAACACTCCACCTATCACCCAACTGTCTTGGTGTAATCTGTGTCTGAGGGAAAATCAGACTGTACTTTTAATAACATTTGGGTGACTATATGACTAGATTATTGTACACGGACACTTGTAGTCGCCGACATAACCAAGTGTATTAAGCTCACAATTTCCAGGTTGCTGCTCAGAATAAAAACAGGTTGTTCTGCTGACTAGCACCGTGGCTTAGGCTGTGCAGGAAAGAGGCGAGTTGAGGATTACACGAACACACCGGCCGGCTGGCGTGGTCGGCAGCAGCTCATTCTTTTGAGAGTTCGGTGGAAAGCCTCGCGGAAGTCGGTGCGGAAGTAGGCATAGATGAAAGGATTGAGCGTGGAGTTGAAGTAACCGATCCAGAAGAGAGCTGTGACGACGGCGTGGGGGCATCGGCATGTGGGCCCACACACATTAATGCTCACGTACCAGGTGAAGAAAGGAAGCCAACACAACACGAAGGCGCCCATAATGAGCCCCAGCGTACGGGCAGCTTTGTGTTCCCGCCGGCCCACTGGTAGGGGCCCCGACTTAGTAGCCACCAGAGGAGTGCTGTGCATGCGACGGTTGCAAGGCATATGGGAGTTGTGCCGTGAAGGACCGTGCCATGAGGCCGTGCTGCCATGTCGGGCGTTCCTCCACCCGCTACCACTGTTGCTGCTGTTAGTACCACTAGTTTTGGCCATATTGCTGGTGCCCGTTCCATTGCCCGCAGCCACAACACTAGTCACACCGCCGCTGCTGCTGCGGGAACTGCTGCTGCCGGAGGGACCCACCGACGGTACTCCCGATGACGCTGTCGTCACGGATGCTGTTGACGAACCGTCGGTGAAGGTCTTCATGAGAAATTCCTGGTGGCGATTTGCCGGCGTGAAGGGTGTTGTCTGTAGTGCCACCAGCAGTTGTTGCCGCGTCAGGGTCGACTGGTCTTGCTGTTGGTGTGGGGGAGCATTTCTTCTGATGGAGGAAGAGTAAGCCGCAGAGTTTGCTGACGAGGCACGGAACAGTAGTGCTCGCTCTTGTTTACGTGCTTCTTGAAATATACGAAAATACATCACCACCATGACAGTGCAAGGAACCCAGAATGACACTGCTGACGATACCAGAGCAAAGACAGCATTTACAACAAACGAGCAGACATAGGGTTGTGTGTCTCGATCTCGGAGGTGCTCAGCAGTGGTGTACCAACCAAGTAAGATGGGAAGGAATGATATGAGCGTGGGCGCCAGCCAGCAGTGGGCCAGCATGATGGTCAAGATGCGGCGAGTCATAGTAAGGGGATACTCCAGTGGACGTACGATGGCGTAATAACGGTCCACACTGATGCAACACAAGTGCAGGATGGACACTGTCGAAAAGTACACGTCGAAGCTGTTCCACAAATCGCACATGAGGCGGCCAAACATCCAGCGGCCCCCAGATAGCTCGACGGAGGCGTTGAAGGTCATGGCACAAAGAGCGACGAGCATGTCGGCTGTGGCTAGGGACACGAGCAGGTAGTTAGCGGTGGAGTGGAGGCGGCGGTGGAGCGCCACGCTTACGATAACCAGCACATTACCTAACACAGACACTACTATAATGGTACACATCACTATCGCTTTTAACACTGTCAGCCCCACGTCCGTCCTCGACCACACCACGCCCAGCTCCTCCCCGAGGTAGGTCTCATTACCAAAAAATGGGGTGCTCGAATCTAAAGATTCCACGTCAAACACCACATTCTTGGCAATAACCGTCCCTTGAGAACTCTGGTGGAGCACAGCGGATGTTTGAACATGAGTTTTATTGACTTTGTGGCGCAGTTCACTAGACTTTGTAACACTGACATCCCTGACTGTGTGGACATCTGTGGCGGGAAGACAAGGCTCGCGGAATACACTGATAGATGCGCGGGTTGTGGTTGTGATGGAAGAAGTACTGGTGGTGTCAGCAGCCAGGGTGTGGTGTGGTGTTGTGGTGTTGGGGGTCACAGCGTCGTAGGTGGAAGACTTCAGAGTGGTAGAGGGTGTCTGGGTGGTGGGCAGAGAGTCAGCAGTAGTAGTAGCAACGTTCCAAGCTTCCACGGAAGGGACTAGTAGGCAGGGCACCAAAAGCAGAAGCAGAAGGTAGTAGGGCAAAGTTTGCGGTGCAGGGAAGAGCTCGGCGGGATGGGCATAACCCCCCCTGCCCGCTTTCTGAAACAAAAAGGGTTAATGATGAGTAGCAATGCAATTAGTCCAGATCTAAATGATTTTCTGCATGTTTTAATATTAACATCTTCCACTTTGTTTGACTCGAATTATCCATCCTCCCACATTCCCAAACACGCAGAACATTTTTTTTTCAATAATTGGAATAATTTTAGGGCAATTCCAATTATTTTAAAGCATTGAATAGATTAATTCATTATTTTTTAAACTGAGTATATCAATAATCTCATTTTAATCACGAAAACTTTTTTTTTATTTTTGTTCCTAGTTTAGTCCATGAAACTTAAGCTAGTTTTATCTCTAATAAACAACCAATAAAAATATATCCTTAGTAGAGTATTGAACTAACCTTGAAATCTCCACCTTTTCACCATGGTTTTAATGATCAAGAAAAATAAGAAAAAAAGGGGACAAAATCCTATTTTAAAACTATATCACAAACTGCAAATATGGCTGACGTTCAATGGGTATGTAGACTGAATTATGCATGTCGTTAGTTTCATGTAAATTTTTGGACAATTCGAAACTCCTTGAAACACTGAGTTACTACTCGTCGCAATTCAATTAGAGCAGTAGAGAAAACAACCGGATGCATCAAATTACAAGTTGTGTCAGGCTGTGTGGCAAGAAACTTTTATATGCAATAAAAATTAGATTAAAAAAATTTGCGTTAGCCTAACTTCTTGCTAATTTAAAATATCAAAAAAGAATTTAATCGCTTAAACAGAAGCAGTTGAGGATGTAACGACCCTCGTGCAGATGTCAGTATAATATATAATTTATGATGAAAAATGCATATTAAACAGAGTTTACTATGCTAATTCCTCATATATGATTAAATACAAAAGATGGAAAGTTCTGGGTGCGGCTCTACTTTTGGAAAATTATGTTACACATCTATTACTACCAGAGCACACACAGATAAAGAAATTCACCTTAATACAGCTGGTGTGCACCTGAGACTCACCTAGGTGGTCAGCAGGTGTGGTTTGAGGTGGTCCCTCCCCCTCTCTCCTTCCACCGCCTCATCACCTGCAGAAAGAAGGGTCTGTCAGCACCAGAATATTGCTAGTTACAATATCTCACCAGCTGGGAAGTGAGATAAAGGAGGTGGAAAGAGGGCCATTATCCACCTGGGCAAAGAGAAAATGAGTAAATCATCGAACGAGTGAGGCTTCCCTTCAACAGAGTGTTCCTTGATAAAGAATAAGTAATAATATCGTGGCAGGACAGTGGTGCAGGACAGACCGAAACATCGTCCTAAAGTTCCTTCAAGTGCAAAGGGGTTCCTTGACACTGAAGGGCTCTTAATTCAAGAAACTGGATCACAACTGAATTTGCCTCCAATCCCTAAGTGCTGAATAATCATTACAGGAGGGTAATGCTAACTGGAATCTCTTGTCATCTCTACTATCTTATTAGCATTGTAATTGTGTATCATTATTTACTTGGTCCTCATTACGTCGAGCCTCTGCGTAGCCTCACAAATGTGCTAGTGGGTAACACTCCGCTAAAATCTCTCTCTCTACCCTGAGCGAAACGTAGTCCCAATAATAATAATATAATAATAATAATCTTTTTTTCTATAAGTACATGTACAAGGTATACAGGCCTAGCTGACATCAATGACATACTACTATATAGAAAAACCCTTGTTGTGCAGAGCATTTTGGGCAAATTAGGTCAATTTTGTCCCTAGGATGCGACCCACACCAGTCGACTAACACCCAGGTACCCATTTTACTACTAGGTGAACATGGACAGCAGGTGTCTTAAGGAAACACGTCCTAATATTTCCACCTGTACCCTGGATCGAACCCAGGACCTCAATGCATGAATTGAGTGCGCTAGCAATCGAGTTACGGGACACCTTAGAAACTTGCTGGTTGGTTACTTGAACTTTAAGAGTGTCGACAACACTAGGGTCATTAAGGCTCATTGTTACTTATTATTATTATTAAAGATTAGCCGGTATTCTCCGGCCCGGGCCTTTTCCAAGTGGTGGCCCGGCCTTGGCTCCCTCTTTAGGGAGTGTCTGAGACCTAAGTCTCCCATGGGAGGAGGCACAAGTACCTCATCTTTGGGACCAACTGTCCCAGACCTAGCCACAAGCTAGGCCTCTCTGGTCTGCCATCCCCGCCACAAGGGGGCTAATGGGTATGACAGTCTTGTGAGCTGTAAGCTCGGGCTCAGGCACCTACCCTACCCTAGAAGGGTTAGGCATGGTGTCGATGTCATTGTTATTTGTTCACTGCCAGTCAAGAAAACCGCAAGCCCTAAAACTGGCACTGATAAAAATCTCTGTATAAATAAATAGATATACACTTCTCACTGTGTATATATCCTGTTCTGTATGTTGTATCTTTATACCCATACCCTTGGGCATTATGCCTCTATGTCCAGTAAATATGCCATCATTCACCCTTCCCTCAGTCATAGGATATATACATTAAGAGATGCATATCTGTGTATACACCGGTGTATACACCGAGAGTTTAATTACTATTTTATGGGTAAAAGCAAATGGTAGTATACAGGTAAACTGGAAAATTTAATGACTCGTGCAGCTGACAGGCTTTAATGCTAATAAACTAACATTGTATATATAATGAGATCATTTAGATTAAAGTGCCATAAACGTGGAGCTATGAAAAGTGAGAAGCAACTTGTACAGAAAAATGAAACGGTCACCCTCTTCAGGTGACGTGTGTGTGTGTGTGTGTGCGTGTGTGTGTGTGTGTGTGTGTGTGTGTGTGTGTGTGTGTGTGTGTGTGTGTGTGTGTGTGTGTGTGTGTGTGTGTACTCACCTAGTTGTACTCGCCTAGTTGAGGTTGCAGGGGTCGAGTCCAAGCTCCTGGCCCCGCCACTTCACTGATCGCTACTAGGTCACTCTCCCTGAACCGTGAGCTTTATCATACCTCTGCTTAAAGCTATGTATGGATCCTGCCTCCATACATCGTTTTCCCAAACTATTCCACTTCCTGACTACTCTGTGGCTGAAGAAATACTTCCTAACATCCCTGCGATTCATCTGTGTCTTCAACTTCCAACTGTGTCCCCTTGATGCTGTGTCCCATCTCTGGAACATCCTGTCTTTGTCCACCTTATCAATTCCTCTCAGTATTTTGTATGTCGTTATCATGTCCCCCCTATCTCTCCTGTCTTCCAGTGTTGTCAGGTTCATTTCCCTTAGCCTCTCCTCGTAGGACATACCTTTTAGCTCTGGGACTAGTCTTGTTGCAAACCTTTGCACTTTCTTAGTTTCTTTACGTGCTTGGCTAGGTGTGGGTTCCAAACTGGTGCCGCATACTCCAATATGGGCCTAACATACACGGTGTACAGTGTCCTGAACGATTCCTTATTAAGATGTCGGAATGCTGTTCCGAGGTTAGCTAGGCGCCCATATGCTGCAGCAGTTATTTGGTTGATGTGCGCTTCAGATGTGCCTGGTGTTATACTCACCCAAAGATATTTTTCCTTGAGTGAGGTTTGTAGTCTCTGGCTCCCTAGACTGTACTCCGTCTGCGGTCTTCTTTGCCCTTCCCCAATCTTCATGACTTTGCACTTGGTGGGGTTGAACTCCAGGAGCCAATTGCTGGACCAGGTCTGCAGCCTGTCCAGATCCCTTTGTAGTTCTGCCTGGTCTTCGATCGAATGAATTCTCATCAATTTCACGTCATCTGCAAACTGGGACACTTCGGATTCTATGTGTGTGTGTGTGTGTGTGTGTGTGTGTGTGTGTGTGTGTGTGTGTGTGTGTGTGTGTGTGTGTGTGTGTGTGTGTGTGTGTGTGTGTGTGTGTGTATAGATAAAATACGTCGTTTTAAGATTCCTTTTTATAAACAAAATTCACAGAGCTATATATACCACCTTTACGAGTGAAAAGTTATCAGACACCTGTAAAGAAAAAAAAACTGGTGAACGATGACTAAAACTTATGGCAGATTGTAATCTGTCGAGGTACGAGCCCTTTAACTTGTTCCCTCGACTTTTTTACCCCCGAGCGTTGGCGAACACAGGATTTTTACTTTATTCTGCACACGCGCGTGTATATAAATCCACCTCCCCCCTATCCACACACACACACACCATACACACACATACACACACATACACACACACACACACACACACACACACACACACACACACACACACACGTGCCTGCAGTGAGACTTGTTGCATTAGGAATGACAGAAAGAAAGAAGGGTAGATCAGAGGATATATAGCTCCACTCATCTTATGGGGTCACCCAGTGACTCCACCACCAACACTGCTACACCTGCCTCACAGCAGTAGTACCACGCTCGATTCACGACACAAAAGTACCAGTCGAACCCTAGCGGGAGACGGGGCGTATAGGCAACACTCCTAACACCAGCTACCCCTGTTACCTAGAAAATAGATAATAATAATATCTTTATTTCTGCAAGTACATACAAGGTATACAAGCTGACATCAATAACATACTACTATATAGAAAGCCGCTTGTTATTCAGAGTATTTCGGGCAAATTAGGTCACTTATGTCCCCAGGATGCGACCCACACCAATTGACTAACACCCAGGTACCCCTTTTACTGATGAGTGAACGAAAACAACAGGTGTGAGGAAACATGCCCAATGCCTCCACCCTTGCCGGGAATCGAACCCGCACATCACTGTGTGAAGCGAGAGCTTTATCACCGAGCCACGGGTCAAGCAGTCATTGTTTCTTGTGAATCATCCTTGTGTAGAACCCGAAGACGAAAATTTATAATAATAAAGGGGAAGCGCTAAACCCGTAGGATTATACAGCGCCTGTGGGGGGGATGTGGAAGGTATTCGGGTTTAATTCAGGGAACTGGAGCGCGGATCCAATTCCCCAGATCAAGAGCCCCTCACAGCATCAAGGAACTTTCCTTGAAGGATTTTAAACGAAAACTCTTTTAAATTTAATGGAAAATTTAAAATGTTCTAAAATCCCCATAAACCTTAAAACAAAAACTGTGAAAATACTGCAAAATATCATTTTTTTTTTCGGTTCATACGAAATATTAAGATTTTGCTCAAATTTTCCCTTAAAATGCAGTTTAAAACGAATCATTCTGGGTTGAATTAGAGAAAAATTATTTTTATTTCATACGTAGGCATTTCAGGGAGGCTGAAAGTATTTCTGACACACTTAGAATTTTACCTGCTAAAGTGCACGTTAGTGACAGTTCTGATGCTGTCACAACACAAATTATCATAACTGGGTTGTTAATCATCCAGTCTTCTAGACAGCCTCCATCCCTTAAGAACCCACGGTTACTCACCAGCAGTAATAATAATAATAATAATAATAATAATAATAATAATAATAATAATAATCTTTATTTCTACAAGTACATGTACAAGGTATACAGTCCTAACCCCTTGTTATGCACAGCATTTCGGGTAAATTAGGTCAATTTTATCCCCAGGATGCGACCCACACTAGTCGACTAACACCCAGGTACCTATTTTACTTGCTAGGTGAACAGGGACAGCAGGTATGTTAAGGAAATACTCCCTGATGTTCCCACCCGTACTGAGTAAAGTATTCACTTTCAGAGTAAATCCTTCGCTCTTCCCAACCTACCCACTGCCACACACAGCAACTACTATTATATCCCTTGCTTTACCTACCTCTCTCTCTCTCTCTCTCTCTCTCTCTCTCTCACCGCTCGCTTCTCCCCTCTTACTCTACCACCCCTGGTGTTCTTTGACATGTTTTCAGACTTGTGTAATATACAGCTTTTACTTTCCTCTGGGCGGCTTCTTCATACTTTATTTGCTTAGTTTCAACAGAAGCTCAGTCGTTCTCGTGGAATATGAGAGGTATTAATGTCTTGTGGAGTGCACAGGTTGTGTCGTCGAGCAAGTCTACTGTCCACGACGTGTCGTTCAGTGCTGAGCTTTATTTTCGTCTAATAAATCTATAAAGTGAGCAAAACTGTCAAAATACTTTTTTTTCTGGCACCCTGTGTCTTCGTGCAATTCTTGTTGTCACTGTTTTCCTGTCAAACCATACGGGTTTGTTGCGGTTGTCATGGCTGTCTCACACATGTTCAGTACCTGGGTGCCTGTACTGACTAGACTCGCTAACCAGCAATCTTTTTTCAACCCAATTCAGAGATCATATTCTGGAGACAGTGGAAAATGTGATTATATAATTCTGACGTGTTCAGTCCCTCAGCCTTGGTAGGTGTTCAGTCGCTCAACTCTAGTACGTGTTCAGTCCCTCAGCTTTGGTAAATCTGAAACGGATATGTTAGGTTAGGTAAGATTCGTCAGGAAATAGGACAAGTGTTTCCTGACGTTGATCTTATTCATATAATGACTCGCTGCTGTAGCTTTTGGTCATCTGACAGAGGCATTCCGCTGGCTTACTCTTCCACCCCTTTAAAAATTAAGATTATTCTATAAAGCAGTTGAACGAAGATAGAGATTTATATACTGGAGCTGGAGGAGAGGTGTAGTAATTGAAAACCGTCACAGATGAGGGGGTCACAGTGAAATTGGGTAAAATTCGGTTAAACCACATATATTTTCCCCCAAAGAGGGTCCGCCCTATCTGACATGTCTTCAATTCCCTGCCCTCTTCTTTTGCTTCAGTATCGATTTCCCTTCCTTAAGGCGGGGGACTGAACACCTATAAAAAGATTGAGAGACTGAACATACTACGGATATCCCGCCCACCACCTTCAGAATACAACCTGCATGTTCCCACACCAGCCTTCAGACATACAACCATGCAGGGTTGCACACCAGCCTTCAGACTAAAACCCATGCGTTTGCCACACCACCCTTCGGACTAAAACCTTTCAGTGTTCCACACCAGCCTTAGACATCCAACCATTGCGGTTGCCACACCAGCCTTCAGACATACAACCATGCAGTGTTGCCACACCGCCTTCAGACTATAACCAGCGTGTGC